CCGATTATTAATCGATTAACTGAAAAAATAATCGACAAATCAATTAGCAAAATAATTGTTAGTTGCAGCTCTAATGGCAAGTGAGACATTTATAGGGGGACATCGCAAAACAATACACACTACTCTTATTGTAGTCTGGACGTATTTTAGCAGGATTTATGTTATAGTAGAAGTAAAAGTGAAATAAGCTGAGCAGTTTGCAAACTTTTTTTTTTTTTTATAAAAACACAAGAATTGCATTTAGAAGTTGTCAGATTATTTTTTTTCCCCTTTTCCAATTTTTTTTCAATTCCTTTATAAAAACTTGATCTATTTCCTTCCACTCCACAGCTATGTTATAGATTTTGTTGATCTAATGATTAATAGTGTAATAATAGTTTAATAATGTCTGATAAAGTATGACATTGCTTTTCTTTTACAGGACAGATGATCTTGTCAAACGTCTTCTTTCATTGGAACTGGCAAGCCATGTAAGGATTTATAACTATATATCACTCTATAGTTTGACAGTTTCTTTTTAACATCTAAAGAGCTGCAGGTTCATATTTTATTTTCCTACAAAAGGTATCAACAATAGCTGAAGCTAATGATTCAAAATTGGGTGACATGATTTGCTAGTTAGGTTTAGCAATTGACCTAGAATTATTTCCATTCAGCTTTTTTTCATATTTTTGTCATTTTCACAGCATTTGGTTTGGATGGCATTTTTTAAAGAGATTAGTAGGTGAGGGATTGATAAGCTTAGAGTGGGGATGTCACCTGTTATTGCTTGAGAAAAGTAGCCCACAGCATAATACTGCCACCACCATGTTTCACCTGTGGGGATATAGTATTCCCTGCAGGCTTTTTGACCAGGTCATTCATTGTCAGTGATATATACAACTGTGATATTTGTCTCCTCAGAGAGAAAAGCTACAGCTGAAAACGCAGCAACTGATTGCCAAAGTTCAGAGAGATGAGAATGACCGCAATTCAGTGGAAGTCCAGGGTGAGAAGCTGTTGGTGTTGCACGTTATGTCTCCAGTGAATGATATATACAGTCATATGAGCAAGTTTGGGCACCCCTAATAATCCTAATTATTTTCATTTCTAAATATTTGGGTGTTTCCAACTGCTATATCAGTTTATATATATATATATATATATGTGTATTTATATTTAATAACTAATGGACACACTAATATTTCAGTATTGAATTGAGGTTTATTGGGCTAAAAGAAAATGTGCAGTAAGCATTAAAACTAAATTTGACAGGTGCAAAAATATTTGCACCTCAGCTAAAATGAGACATTAATATAGACAAGCCTGAGACAACTTTTTGTATCCTTCCCCTGAACGGCAATGTTGAACAATCTTTGTTTTCAGATCATTTGAGAGTTGTTTTGAGGTGCCCATGATGAATCTTCAGAGGAGATTCAAACAGGAGAACAACTTGCAACTGGCCACCTTAAATACGTTTTCTCATGATTGGATGCACCTGGCTATGAAGTTCAAATGTTAATGAAGTTGCCAAACCAATTTTGTGTTTCAGTAAGTCAGTGAAAAGTAGTTAAGGGTATTCAAATCAATACAATTATTGGGGTACCCAGATTTCTTTGTGTTGTTGTAATGCATACTGCACATTTTTTGTAGTCCAGTGAACCTCAATTCAGTACTGAAATATTAGTGCATCTATCAGTTATTAGATATATCAAACAGAAATAGCTGTCTCTAACACCCAAATATATATATATATATATATATATATATATATATATATATATATATATATATATATATATATATAGCCTTATCGACATCAGATGACAGTTGTATTCCCTTTCTGATTTTTGTCATTACAGTGGCTATTTTGACTGCAAGAATTCGAAACTATCAAGAGCATTTGCAGAAGCACCACAAGGTGAGTGAAGTCATTTATTCCCCCCTCTGCATATTAAATCATTTTGTGTCCATGCTTTATGAAAACAAGCTAACATGATTCAGAGTTGTCTTCATGTGTGCCGGTTTCCTCTCCCTTTAACTTCCTTTGGTATGAAGAGTTTATATGTGCTACAGGAAATCCTGTGTACTAAAACCCACATGAAATAAAATGTGCGCAAACAAAGCCGTGGTCGGAAGTTTCCAACTTACGTCACACTTTAAACATCTTATTATATTTAAAACTGCTGCGTAGAGGTTGTATATTAAAACAGCATCCCCGTTCTGCTAATAAGTTGCATTTGTTTACCATTTGCAAAAAAGTTGAGCCAGCAGACACTAATGGTTCATTTTAACATGTTTTATTCCAGGACAAAGCTAACAAGAGGCGCATGCTTATGGCCATCGATCGTAGAAAAAAGCTTCTGAAAAACCTACGTTTGGTTCGTTTTGACACCTTTGAGAAAGTGTGTGAGCAGCTTGGCATCACCTACACCTTCCCCCCAGAGTACTACAGACGGGCCACCCGCCGCTGGCTCGCCAAGAAAGAGTTCTGCATCAAGGTAATGAATAAATTAAGCCAATCTTCTGTTTGCATTGAAGTTTTCCTAATATTGTTTCTTTGTTAAGCAGTTTTTCTGCTTTATGGAGGGTTATTCATAAGGACTGCTTTGTCTTACTGGTGCTTTAAGGTCGGTTTCACACCCAAACTTAATAGTTTTCCTGTGTCGTTTCTCAGGTTTTCAAGGCGGTGCAGAAGCAGAAAGCAGAGCAAAAGATGAAGCAGCATTTAGGAACCACACAATCAGAGGAAGCCAAGGCAGCAGGAGCTCAAACACAATAAAACCACCTAGTCTGAAGAACTGTCTGCTCTCAATGTTTAGGGAATCGGTTTCCTTGTTTGATCTGTCCCATTTTTTTGTGTTTTCATTCTGATGTTCTTTAATTTTCACTTCTGGATTTATCTTACAATGATGAAGCATCTTGGAAATAAAATATATCAAATGCATCTCAGAGATGTTTGTTTTGACATGTCCCTTTGGCACATCAAAAAAAAAACGGTGTCTGGTTTTAGTTTATCAACAAACCAACAGATGATTTAGATTACCAAATAAATGAAATTCTTAGAATACAAAGTTAAATCCACTTTAACAAGAAAACCCCAGCCTGCAGATTATTCACTCTATCTAAACTTTCTTCGTACTCAGTCAACAACATTCTTAAAAAAAAAAGTAGTTTTTCCTCTGCATTAAACGGCAAAATTTGTGCTTTTTGCAATGTTTCAAATCCAAATAACTGATAATTTTAGTGCTTAATCACATTATCATTGTATTCCTCTGTTTAAAATTGGATCTCAACTTAAAGCCAGTCCATTGATCATATTATTCAAAATATTAAATTGTTCTAATACAGAAAACTGGGTAAAAACATACAACTGGAATATATAAAGAAACTTTCTATAAAGGAAATCTATAATGTTTTGACAAACCAAAATCAGAGAAGTTGCATTTGCTGTGTGAATGCTGTAGAACAGGACACCTTTTTCTGCTGAAAAGTTTGTCAAAGGGTTAAACATAATTTTAAAAACACATAATGTATTAAACTTGAATCCTAAAAAATACTGCATTAAATAACATATGGATTTGCAGTTTTAGCTTCATGGCTTTTTAATTTGGTCAAGAATTGCAACGATTAGCCATTTGGGGGGAAATGGTAAATGGCATGTACTTATATAGCGCCTTTATTCAAGTCAGGAGACTTGACCAAAGCGCTTTACACTACATTCATTCACCCATTCACACTCACACACTGATGGTGGCAAGCTACATTGTAGCCACAGCTGCCCTGGGGCTCACTGACAGAAGCGGGGCTGCCGTACACTGGCGCCACCGGGCCCTGGCATTCACGCTCATCATGAGGGGAAAGCAATATTCATTAAGAGCATGTAGGCTTTTCTCTAGCTCAGATCAAGAGAAAGGGCTTTGTATGGTGATCAAGTAGTTTCATCGTACTACAGTTTTTAATTAATTGACATGGAGTTCGTTTTTTTTTTTTACTTTTTTTTCTGCCCAAAGTTAAGCTGACAAACCAATGGAAATGCATACTGAATTGTATACGTATATCTATATATGTATATATAGATATAAATAAAATGGCTTCCATAGTTTTGTAGCTGTTAAATAATTTAGTTAAGGACTTTAATCAAACAAAAGTGTGTTACATCATTCAAACTCAATAGTATAAGTCTTACAAGGCTTCTTTTTCCTTACAGGATGTCCTAATAGTTCTAAAAAAAAAATGCCTTTAAGCGAATGCTCTAAAGCTAAACATGTGATGGTTTTAAGTTTAAATATTAAAATGGTTTCTGTTCAGTATTCGCTCCATCATTTGGCTCAGATAGAAACAAAAAATTATGATACTTAGGCCTCTCTCATCAGATGTCATGGAGGATAGTAGAGCCTACGGTTTATGATAATAACTTTTGATTGTTTTAACAGTATAACAATATATTTATAATATCAAAAGCAAAAACTGTCACCTTAGCCTGACCCACTCAGCTTGAATCTTCAATCCTGAGTGCTTAAGTAGAAATCAGCTGTATTTCTCTTGTATTTTCACTCTTGAAAATAGGGCTTCTTCATTATTTAACACAGTTGGAAGGAACAGACCACTTTATTGTCACAGTAAGGAATTTTGTCAGAACTCCACAGAAGCAAAACCTAACAATGCATACAGAATATATATCACAATAAGGCAATTCAAGCTATTTGCAGATGTGAGATTATCACTGTCTGGCCAATCCCTTAAAATCCCAAAAGAAATGACTGGAGAAAGTAAAATGCAGATGTCCAATCCACAACATGTTGGTGACTGTGTGTTTACTAAATTCCTTGAAAGGTGGGTTTCCTAATAGCTTCTCCACCAAACATAAAACTGGAATAAAAAAAACATACGTTTGCCCTGGCTGTCCTCTGGTCTTGTTGATGCAGGAAGAGAACTATGTAAAGACCACTCCCTCTTTTATAGACCCTCCCATGAAATAATAGTGGAGAGCTTCTTGCAGTATTTCTATTTCCCACTAAACTGTTTTCTAATATGTGTGCTTTCAACAGTTTTCACAAGAATTCATTTATTAAAATAGTTTAGACATAGATTTAGTTGTGCTCATCTGTTGGTGACCTGTATCATTTGAACTGTGACCCCAAGAAGCCTCTTCCAGTTAACTGTTGTTAACTGCTCATTTAGATTCTCCACAGATCTTTCTCATCCTCAGAAAGAGCAGTTTGTTGGTGAACCAGCATTTCACAGCTCGAGATCGTCACAATTTCCTGTGTGGTGTGAAGCTTGTCAGTTGATCAAACGGAGTTCAGACTTCTGGTAAGTGACATGTTTCTTCTCTCTGTCTGCAAGTTAACCTACGAAGCCGTTCGGTAATTAATTTCAACTGTTTAGATTGGATTTTTAAGCTTATTTGATATTTCAAATGTAGACTAAAACTTTCTCATATAATTTGACATACCGTATATTTTACTACCTTGTGATCTGTCCATCTAAATTAAGGTTACATTTAGTGTCTGTGGCTACAAAATTGTAATTATTAAAAGTCCAGTAAAGGTTAGGTGTTGTTGTAGAACTAATGAGCATTATATATATATTATCTGTATATATTTAGAGCATATTTGTTGTTTAAAAATGTATATCTTCAGTTTTTTAGGACATTCAAAATATAAATCTGCAACTGATGTTTTTAAAAAAATAGTTTGAGTATGTAATTGAGTATACAAAGGAATTGCATTTCAGCAAATATATGAAAGCTTTGTTAAAACAAACAATAGGTAATTAGTGAAGGGTTTTGTAAAGTCTGCTCAATCAAAGGTTATATCTAACATTTTTCTGTATTTTGTGAGCACTAAAACTTTGATTAGATGCTTTTCTAAAAAAAGACCCAAATGGTGACATTTAAATGTTTCATAAGCTGTGTTATGATGCATGGAAAGAAATGTTGTCATCTCTTCTTCCACCCACAACAGTCTTTAATCTCTTTCCAGGTTTTTTTACTAGCTGAATTTGAACGTTTCCTGTCCAAATGTCAAACCCAGTGGTCACCAGTCAACCCGGTACAGGAGGCTATGGAACGAACGTACAGACTGGGGAGTGGAGCACAGGCTTGTGTTCCTGCTTTAGTGACTGTTTAGTTTGTGAGTGGAATCTTACAACATATCCATAAAACATGTTTATAGTTTATGATGGTCTGAAAGAAACTGTTTTGCTTGTCAAACTGTCTTAATAGAATGTGGTTTTTTTAGGTGCCCTCGGTTGCTTCTGTCCGATGGCTCTGCACTGTTACACTGCAAACAAGTATGGTGAAAACTGCTGCCTGGGTTGTGTGCCAGGAGGCATGACTGCCATGAGGACTCACATGAGACTGACCTATGGTATTCAGGTAGGAAATTTGCTAAATCTTCTCATGTAAAACAAAGCAGACATTTTGCAAAACCTTCGATCTTAAGAAAGGTTGAGATTTCATAAATAAGGAAACACTAGTTTTCCCTGAGATGATGAAAACTGAGCTTGCATAGATTTCTTAACACAAGTTCCCTATTGTTAACTCTTCTCATCATTATCTAACTGCAGGGCACGGTTTGCAACGACGCCCTCATGACCTTTTTCTGTGGATTCTGTGAAGTATGCAGGATGGCTCGAGAAGTTCGTATCAGGAATGGAGACATTTCATTGTAGATGATGTAGGAAGCCCTGTGCTTGTAGAAATCACTCGTCAGGTTTTAATAACAACAAGAAGGAAGAAGTCATCACTGAAACCTACAGTTCAATGTAATAAGTGTAATTCTGCTCATATTAAAGGTCTGCTCTCTTGTATAGAACCTGCTTTTACCAAATGTATCATTTATATGCATGTCTTGACTGATTTGAACATATCCACAATGTCATGTTTCACTTTATTTGAATATTTTTCAGAAAATGTTTTCTTGTGCAATGATAAAGACATAAAACGTAAATGCTGTATACATATTTTGTTTTGAAATCAACTACTATGAGGGTTTTTTGTATCTAAGAAAATTTCTAGGTAAGTTTACCAATAATTTACTATCACTTCAGAACCCTTAAGAACTATTCAACCTAAACCTGATCATGTCCAACCAAAAGCATTAATCAGCAGGATTATGAAGATGTTGTTCTTTCTCCTCTATTTTTTCTATATCAGGGATTTCGAGACACTTTTTTTAATATATAGATGGATGTTCTAGTTTGACATGGTGAAAGAATTGAGTATGATAATCCAGTTTTCGTACTTTTGTTTTTATTGATATTTAAAATTGTTTATGTTTACTTTCAGTTACTTGTAATTCTATCATTCTCTTGTGGATTGCACGTACAGATTAGGTTAGTCACCGTGACATTGTTAGTGTGTGGACCACACAGATTTGAAAGCTTGATAAGTTGCAAGATAGATGCAGTGCAGTGTTAACCAGAACATTGACTCAGTTTATTGGCCTGGGTTCAGTTGGGGTGATATCTGATCATGTAGCTTCAGTTTAAGTCATCTGACATGAATTAGATCAGAGCCTGAAACAAACGTAGAAGAGGAATAACTAAAATCATAGAGTAAATAATCATCTGCATGAATCACTCGTATTTTTTTTTTTTATTCACACATATATTCAGCATCGTCTCTGATCTTTGCATTCATGCACAAAATTCAGTTTATTATTTCATGTGCATATTGTAAAAAAGGATTTCTGCCTTACAGGTTTCTTCTGCTTTAAGTATCAGACAAAAATAACCAGAGATACATAAATCTGTTTTAATTACATGATTTTGTGTGTTATGAGAAAAAATGTCCCAGACAAGACTGGCATTTGTTAAATGTTTCTAGGCTGCTTCACATGAGACAGGTCATGTTACTCATTTCTTTATTCTAAGAAGTACCGTAATCCGGGTGTAATTAGGACTGCTTGGGGCTGATCAAAAAAATAATGAAGAATGGGTTATTCACCTAAAGATTTAATAAGAGAAGCAATCATATTTCTGCACAGAACCAGTTTCCAGTTTTGTTTGTTCAATTCGGTTAAAAAGCACTTTATCAATCCCAAAGAGAAATTAAATCTTGTAGTATTTATTTATTTTTACAAAGGATTAAACTAGATGGTGATGCCTCTGGAGTGGATCTCCTGTAGCTTTCTGCATTATAGCTGATTTGAAGAAGCTACTGAAAGAAGACACTACATTATTGTATTGTTGTTTGTGGTTGTTTATTCTCTGCAGGCACTTTTACTGATGTGAGATATGCTTGTCTGACAACAAAAGCAAGAACAGTAAGATTGTTACAGGGGAAATACATTTTCAAAGAATTGTTAAATATCACAAATATAAAGATTCAGAGTAGGCAGTTTTTAAAAAGGTTTACTACATATGTATATCTACATATGTAACTCAAATACAATAGCATACTTAATTAAAGCTTATTTATTAGCATAACTGGTTATTAGTGGACTATTTGTGATAAAAAAAAATAAAAATGGGCCTAAGTTCCGAGTCCTCAAAACCAGTTGCGAGTTGGTTAAGGTAAAGCTGTTAGATTTCAATATTTTGAATTTCAAAGGATAAAAATAGTGAATAATAATGGGAGGATGAGAAGTCATATTTTGATGGAAATTGCTTGTAAGTTTACTATCATTAACCTACCATCAGGTTAAGCCATTGGTTTAGAAAAATTAGCTACTGGCTTTGTTAAATGTCTCTTTCCAAACATTTTACACCACTAAATATTGTTTATACTTAATATGAAGTTTAAGAGGAAGTCATTAAATAACAAAATGAGAAGCTATATTGTTTAGTCATCTATAGAAAAAAAAAACTTTATCTGTAAGAACTACAGGATAGTTTGCCTAAGACAGCTTCTGCAGAACCAAAACTAATTGGATTGATTTTGTAAGACAGATAATAATGGAAATGGTTTCACACCTTCACCCATTTCCAGTGTTGTAGGTTAAAGTAAACTCAAAATGACACGTATGAGAGTGATAACTAGATATGCAATGCTGTTGGAGTTACAGTGACTTGCCCTAAAACTTTTACACTTGTGTGCATTTTGTTACATTAAACAACAGAAAAGGAATGTACTTTATTGAATTCAGTGTTTTAGGCAAACACAAACAGCCCATTATTTTAAAATGTAAGGAAATGTGTTCAAAAACACCCATGTAGTCACCAATACCATGACTAATTTAGATTAAGTGCAGAGTGGAAACAAGTCCTGGTACAAACTCTAAACTGAATTTAGGTCTAGAATGGACCACTCTGAAACATGGCTATATTTTCCATTGTAGGTCTGGCTGTATAGTGTCTTTAATAAGTCAATATTGAACCCCCTCCTCAGTTTTAAGCCTTTTTCCTGGGGTTCTCCAGAATTAGGCTTAATTCAGCTTTTAATTCAACCGGCTTGGGCTTCCCTGTCCCTGCTGGAAAAAAAAAGAAAAAAATCGCTGCCACCTGAAGATGCCACTGGGTTATTTTAGTAGGATGGTGTGGATTCAGTTTACCACTACAATTACCTTTTTGTATGCTGAAAAAGGTGTTATTTTAAACTAACTTGTCCAAAGAACTTTTTCTATCTGAATGCCTGTTTCTAAATGTATTCCTTCCTCATTGTATTGTTTAAAATTCTTGAACAATGATCTTGTAAAGCCTCCAAGGAAATCTAGAGAAGCTGTATTCATACAGAGTATTTCACACAGATTGACTTTATTCATTAATTTGGAGAGACCTGGAAGAAAATGATTTCCCCTTTATTTTATTTAGAAATTTAAAAGCACATACTGCTTAATGGAAATAATACCTCACTTAATTTGTAAAATTCTCTAAAATAATTTCCATTCATTGCTCTATGTAAAGATGACTACAGGATAGTACATTAGATGATAAATCTTTGAGGTTTTTTTTTTATCTGATTTTAAGTTAAAAAGCATGTTTGTGAGTTATGTTCCTGAAACATAGTCAAATTATTATTGCTATGAAAATGTGTTGCTGCCAAAAATTTAGTAAAAGTTGTACTTCTCGCTTTGTCATAAGTTTCCCATTATTTTACACTAATTTTAATGCATAAACAGTAGGTGCATAAATGTTTCAGTTGAAGACATTACCTAAAACAAAATCAGGGGCAGGGTACAGAAATGGATAAGCCAGTCTAAAAACAGACTGAAAGACAACTGGAAAACAAAGGGGGAATAAAGCAAATATATATACTTGGTTGTTTTTCAAGAAAAACGATTAAAGGATTTAAAAATGTCAGTATTTTTCAGATTTACTCTATATTGCGCAGGTTCTATAAAGTGGATAGCGATAGTGTTGTTGTCATTAAACTGGTGGAAACAAATAAAATATTTTAAAGGAGATAAGCAGAAAAGACAAATTTGCTATTAAATAGCTTTCTGTCACTTTACGTAAGAGCAATGTGTTTTACGTCCTTACATCACTGCCCTGTGATTGGCTGTCTTCTCCGTGGCCTGGCAACCAGAAGCGGCTTTACCAAACAGACTGGTGTTATGCCGAGAAATGCATGCCTGCCGAGAATTGCATCCCCTCTCGCGGGAGCGCGCGTCGCTCTAAACTCTCGCATATTGATGAGAAAACTGACTCAAATCTGACCGAAGAGGAAACTTTTAAAGATATTCTTAACATTATCACGATTCTTAACCATATAAGCCCTAAAACGGTGGATTTCATTTCGAAGATTATTTACAATAAATACGGTTTTACGCCTTTATTGAGACATACTAGTCGAACGTTTTTCAGTCTATCTCTGATGACAATGTTCTCCGCAGCAGGTTTAAAATCCCTCGATATTTCTTTTAACACCATAATAGCTTAAAGTATGACAAATCAGAGGAACATTATATACAACATTTATTATCGCCCTTAACTATGGAGGACCAACTCTGCCATATTTAAAAATAAATACAGAAATAAATAAATGCTCAATAAATATGTAAGCATACAATTAATTGCCAACAAACATACAATAAACAAATAAATGTAAGTAGAAAATAAATTATACAGTGAGACATAAATGTATATAACTCTTTTAATTAGTTTCTTTATTTATTTGCCTTTGTAATATTTACCTTATTTTTTTTTGTCCTTTACAATCTTCAACTTAATTATTTAATTACTTATACTTAAGTATTTATTTATGTACATGTCATAATATTTTTTTCTGTTTTATTCTTCCTTTGTATTTTTTTACCTTAGTTATTTCTTCGCCGCTGTTTATTTCTGTCTGCCCTTTTTACATTTCTGCCTGTTGTATTTACATTTCTGTATGCATTTCTGTCTCATTATGCAAATGAGGAGGGGGTTATTTTCTAAATGATTTGTGCCACATAAACGGTTTCAGATTTTAAATCATAACCACAAACTTTTGCACCTTTTTATTAGTTTAGTGATTAAACAGTATAAACAGTCCAGCTCTCTGACTCTTGTACATTTGGTGATACACAAAATGTGGAAAAACAAGAACAAGAACAGAAAGGCTCCACCTCAAACTACAGAAAGCCGTGGAGCTTAAAGATCAAAGCACTAGACTGACAGATAACAAACATATAATAGGTTTATAAATCAACCAAATTGGCTACATTCTATTGAAAAGAAACTGGCAAAAACTAAATCCTAAACATCAATGTGGCCATGTTAACTGCTTGAAATATATTTGTGATGCTCTAAAAATAAAATGCAGAATTTTTTGAGACTTGTTCATTTGACAAACTCTGTGAGTCTGCCTTCCTCCTTGTTACGCTTCAATTCTCTGGAGTATTGCTTCCTTCCAGTAGCATCTGCAATCAAAATGTATTTCTATAAATGTTTGGAAATCCTACATGTCACAAAAATGTGTGTATGTGTATATATATACATTTTGTCACCTTTAACTGTTGTATGGTTCTCCTCAAAACCTTGATTTCTTCTTTGTAGTTGCTTTCCAGCACTTCCATCCTGTGAGCTTCACTCTTTATCCTTATATAATTTTCCTCTTGCTGTTCATCCATTTTTTTCAGCAGATCCTGTTTCTCCCTTTCTAGATCTTCAACCTACAAATGTGAAAGACACAGTAGGAAGTCCACAGCTTTCAGTTGCATCTGGAAACAAAGAGTGCTCTCTGCTGGATTTTTAACGAAAATCCAATAACATAGTTTAAGCTAGAAAGGGTTGAAATGATTAAATGCGGCTTATTAACAAGAAAAAAAAAGTTTTATTCATTGTAATAAATTATATACTGATGCCCTTACCCTTTTATTTAAATCCACTGTTTCAATTTCAGATTGTAGCGCCTTTCTGCTGCCATAAAGAATGCAGCTTTCAATCATCTTCTGGTAGGTTTTGATGGTCATTTGACTCTCGTCTCTGACTCTTAGCAGAAGCAGACCCATCTCAGCACAGGTTATGGTGCTCTGCCGGATTAATTCATCTAATGATGATAGAAATTAATACATTGTCAAAGTTATAAGTGATCCAGTCTTGTGTAATTTTGACAAATATGGTCATGTAGATAAAAAATGTAGTAGAAATCTTAGGTTTGAATCTACATACAACATTTACAGGAATTTCATAAGTTTGTCCCATTTAATTTTTAAAGTGATTGTTCCAGGTGGAAAAAATTACAAATTTTTTCCATTTCAGTTTATTATACACTAATACATCTCCAGAAATATTTGAATAAACAATCCTTTCCAAGAGTCAGAGAAACTATGTTCTGTCTGTAGATACTCCCAAGCTTTTCACTGATTACCATTGGTGCTTTAGCTACTTTTCCAGGCATTGTTAATCTAAATTAAAATAGTTTGTACAGTTAGGCACAGACCCAGCTTTTAATCATAGCCTATAACAATTAACCAAATGGTCGGCTTCGGTCAGACGCATCTATTCCTTGCTTCCCGCTTGCTTATATTTTCTTACTTTTTTAGAATTTTGGGAAACAGGCCGAGTCTAATGAAAATAACCACACTGGTAGCTGGTGTGGTGGGATGGTGTTCCACCAGGCCCTCTCTGTGCACCAAGTGTAGCAAGAAGCAAGCCGTTGATTGGTGGGCAGGACAGGTGGCCTTATAGCTGAGCAGGCCTCTACAAGTTGCATCTGTCTTTGTTTTACCTACATGTCAGCTGCCTAAGTGGCTGGTGTGCTTGATCTGCTAATGTGAAATCGTAAGTGCCATCTGTGGCTGGGCTTTGGTGCTATACCTGCCATGTTTTTCTGCAGCATTGCTCTGGTGCAGCGTGCTGGCCCACTTTCCCCCTGGTTAGGCTGTGTTTCAACTCCTGGATAAGCTTCCCGTTTAGATTTTAATTTACAGGTTTACTAATCTGCTTTCTGGTTTAGGGTTGTCTTGGAGCTGCAGCGCTTCGGACGCTGTGCTGTCTTTTTTTGCAGGTGTTTGTTTTGGCCGCTCTCGACAAAACCTGTTGCTGCTTGGACAGGCTGAGCGAGTGGGGCATGACTCCTCTGGCCACATTGAAAGGCCTATGAATTTGGACAGTGACAATTTGTTCCCTTTGAAGTCCTGGAATTTTTGTCTTTTACCCTTTGTTTGCTTATTATTGAAGTTACTAAAGGGTTTGCTTTTATTTTGAGTTACTAATTCATTTCCTTTTGCATTGCATGTTTTGATTTTATTTTATTTTTTTAATAATTTAAATTGCCCTTATTTCCTATGATCTCTTTTCTTTCCAGGGACAGAGTAGTAGGCCTGAAGCCATGTTTTAACAAATGTTTTAAAGAAATTCTTTGATTAAAATATTGCAGACTATTCGGTGTTCTGGTGCATCTTGTTTTAAAAAGTTCCCCCTTTGAGGGTCACACTGGGAAACTCTTGGAGCAAAGCCAAAGAACAAACAATCCGATCCAGATCTGAAAAGACCCCAGACAGTGTTGACGCCAAATCTAGATGACAAAACCTGGCCAAGACTTCAGAGAAACAGGTCTTCTTCAGATGCAAAAAGCAGTTTGTTCCCTAAGCTACTTTTTTGGACAAGGTAAGCTTCTGCAACTAGAAAAATGCAGAAATGTTGAATGTTGGCTGTAGCTTCCAGTCTGAAGCCTCAAATAAGAATGGCAAAGATCCATCCAATCGTGAAGAACTTTGTCGTTCACATAGGAATGATGTTGCTAAGAGGAAGTCAAAATTGCAGGGACATGATTAGAGTTCATAACACTGCAAGACAGACTAATTTTAAAGCGTAATTAAGGGCCCTGTCCCGCCACCTTCAGCAGGAAATAAAATCTTCAGAGTTTCCTACCTGAATAAACTGATCAAATGTGCCTGTTCTACAAGATCAATTGGCTTTATTGATAACATCTTCTGTGAAAAGGGACCCGAATGGAAGAGATGGAATATCTTTGTTTAAAGATCTATGTCAGGAAAATAATTTTAAATCAATTAATTAATTACTCCTCAAAATCTTGATTTTATGTTTCTAACAGACATGGCTGGATAAAAATAATCAGATTTTATTGGAGACTGGGTAGCACCATTTACAAAGGGTCCTACATGGCGAGGATTCATTAATCTGTTTGATTCACTGTCCAAGTACAGGGCCCTTTTCATGTTTCGGAATGTTTAGATGCCCCAGAGTCCAAAAAAAACCTTTTTTTTAATCATTTCTAACTTTTATCTGATATGTGTTGAACATGACAGCTTAATTCTTGTGGAGGACTTTAACGTATGTGTTGACAACCCTGAAGACGGGGGTGCAAAAGAACTGAGGGACATGCTTAAGATTTTTGGATTGACTCAACATGTTAAATAGCTAACACACAATTGAGGAAATATTTCGAATTTTAGAGTTTTAAACATGACTGTTTCTCTACTGATATTGCGCTAGTGGACTTTTTTTTTTATCTGTTTAGCCTACTTTGAAACCGTTTCCCCCTGATCTAAGTATCAAAAGAGATGTTATAAGAATGAATTCTCGTGGACAGTAGTCTCTGTCCAATCTACAGTATAAAAAGGCCAGTAGTGAATTTGCAAACGTCATTACTTGGAAAATTTACGGTATAAGAAAAAGCAGTCTGTCCACCAGCATCAACTCCAGTGCCAATACTGACTCTATTTCAGAAAACTCAGTTAAAATGCTCCAATTCCGCCTAATAAATGTAAGAGTTAGGAAATTGTTCAGCGGCTAAGCTCCTCCTGCTGCTGTCTTGATATTTTACCCACAGGATTTAAGAAGGTTAAACCTGTTTTAGATTCTGATTTGATTCAAATCATAAACACATCCCTTATGTCAAGTGTTTTCCCCAAGGCATAAAAACAGCAATTATCAAACCTTTATCGAAAAAGAGAAGCGCGGATAAATGAATCCCGCAGAACTACAGACCCATCTCAAACCTCCTCTTTATCGGTAAAATGAAAATTGAAAAAGTTGTTTCAACAATTAAATCCTTTAATAATGACCAGCTGCCTAAACATCTTCCAGTCAGGTTTCCATGCCAACCACAGTACAGAGACTGCCCTGATTAATGTGTTCAATAACATCTGTATAAACTCAAGACTGGAAGACCCACAGTGCTGATTTGCTATTTTCTCTATAGATCATTTAGCTTTTCCTGAAATTTTCAACTGCATATTTCAGTCATGCTCAAAGGCATTGACTTTGGAACAGACATTCTTTTTTAGTCAGAAACACTCCAGTTCACGTAGGCTATGAAGACTCATGTAGGCCTTTTAAAGGCTTGAACCTTGATGGTTCCCAAACATCTAAACAATTTCCCTTCAATCTGATTTTGAATGTTTGTGTCAGATGACTGAAACTTGGGAGAAAACTGAGCAATGAAATAAGACAATGTTTCATAACTAGTTGTAGAAGGCTAACAAACTTTCTGAATAGCCTGCCTAAAATCAAGAGTATTCTTTTAAAATCTGGATTCATCCAAGGAAAACTCACAAGTTAAAATTAATGCTACATTTTTTTCCCCCATACCTTTGGTCAGTTGTACATAATGATGCAAGAAGCTTGATGACTTTAAAAAGTGTGTAAGCAAGCTTGCTACACTACTGTTATTCAAATATTAGTGGATATATATATATATATATATATATATATATATATATATATATATATATATATATATATATATATATATATATGTATATATATATATATATATATATATATATATATATATAAAGATTTTTGTATAGTTAACAGGAAAAAACAGAAACAAATTCCAGCTGCATTATTTGATCAGTTATTTAAATTACAGTGGCTGTGTAACCCTTCCAACTCAAGAGTGCTTCAGTTGCTCCAACAAAGAGCCAAAAATATAAAAATGACTGGTGTAGCAATGTAAACTTCTCATTAGAAGTGTATGATGGTGGGTATATTGATTGCATCCCCAGCAAGTCCTTACCAAAACACTGAGAATAAAGCTGTCTGCGGATGTGACAGATGCCTGTAAGCCTGGCCTGTCTCTGCTGCAGCTTTGTATCCAGCTTTTCCTTCAGTTGGATAACATCTGCTCTTGTAGACGGAGCAGTAGATACCTTCTGCACCCAAAGCTGGTTTCCGTCCATCCATTCCCTGCAACATTAATGGTTGAGAATAAATTGTTTGAAATAAATAGGACAGTTTACTAAATAAGAACATGGGCATACCTGGGTGGAAAAATGGCTTCCAGGACCTCCTTGGTTTCCTTATTGTCTTCACTCGTTGCAGGTTTTGATTTAGAAGGTGGAGTAGCTGGTTGGAAATCTGATGGCTGCTGAGGGATTGTTGTCCAGAGAATACCAGATAACAGAAAAGTTATGTGAAAATGTACCAGTTGAATCTAAACATGCACCTAAGAGCACTTTAGATTTAAATTTTTTGCAGTGTAAGGTTTCCAAAGGGTGGTGGTTTAAAGTCCTGAATCCAAGCAAATGAAAACGTTGGTGGAAGGAAAGTGTGGTGTGTAAAATATATACAAGTACAGTCTGGATATCCTTATGAAGAAAACCTCTCATCAAAGACTGAATCCAGAATAAGAGCTAATTTTTTTTTTCTTTTCCCCTTTGGGTGAAGACACTCCTTAAGCAATCAACTTAGAAACTATTTATTCTTCCTTGAAAAAATTACTATTTAAATTAATTAAGTATACTTGGAGGCCTAATTGAATTATTATTATTTATTTATTTTAATTTTTTTAACCACATAGGCCTACATTTTTGGTTATATTGGAATTTATTTTAACGCACATATCTACTATGTTGTGGTGGTCCTGCCGCATAAATCTTGGTCCAAATAATGTACAAACCTACCATTTCAATGTGACTGCAGCAAACTCACCTTTGGAGATTTAGTCTCTGAATTCTTGATCAACATCGGATTATTGTATTTAAGAAGAGAATCGGATGTAGGAATCATTTTTCACTTCCCTTTTTTTAACACAAAGGAAAAATAAAATAAGTTTTGCCCGCAGACACCGAAACTTATTTACTCGTTGAAGTTTGTTGTAACTGTCGTCATGGTAACGGTGTCCAGACGTTCCTAACGTCTTTTAAATGGCATGGCTGAAAGAAGCACTTAAGCTGTAATTAAATTATCAATATAAGAACCCAATATATGATCTTTTTTGATGAAGGGTTATTTTTTCAAAACACACAAAAAACGGTATGTCAGCTAGTTCGGCAAATCGTGATTGGAAATCTGGAAAAAAATATTACATTGAATTTATTTTAATTGAAATTTTGACTCAGTAGCCACCTAACGTTCACTTATAACACCCTTTAATATTTTTACAGCTAACAAGAACTATACATTATACTTATTAAGAAGTAAAACAACAGCACTTTAGATGCTATATGGCCAATTTGAAGGTGCAACGTCAAAAGTAGCGGAACTTTAAAAAAAGGCAAAGATTCCGCCGAGATCCATTTTCTGTGTACCACAGGAACAATTAAGGGTGATAAAAATGTTGTATATAATGTTCCTCTGATTTGTCATACTTTAAGCTATTATAGTGTTAAAAGAAATATCGGGGAATTTTCAACCTGCTGCGGAGAACATTTTCATCAGAGACACACTGAAAAACGTTCGACTAGTATGTCTCAATAAAGGTGTCAAACCGTATTTATTTAAATAATCTGCGAAATAAAATCCACCGTTTTAGGGCTTATATGGTTAAGAAACGTGATAATGCAAAGTATATCTTTAACAGTTTCCTCGTCTTCAGTCAGTTTTCTCGAGAGTTTTGCGAGAGTTTAGAGTGATGCGCGCTCCCGCGAGAAGGGACGCAATTCTCGGCAGGCATGCGTTTCTCGGTATAACACCCCCTTCCTCAGAAGGAACTAGTTAGCCCTGTTCTTCAGTAAGCTTTAGCGGGAAGGTTTATCTCATCAGATTTGAACATGTCTACCAGGACCCTACCGCTGCTCTTTATCAATCTCGGTGGAGAAATGCTGTATATCCTGGACCAGCGGCTTCGAGCCCAGAATATACCCGCCGACAAAGCTAAAAAAGGTAGCAGCTATTCAGCTAACAGCAAACTCTCTGCATATCTGTGCTGCACTTAAACGTGAAGATACTGTAAACGGCTGACATTTTTTCTGTTCATTAAGCGGTCAATATATTTTAAATGTAGGTAATGTAGAAAAGGACAATTAACAGACAGCGAAGAGTTAACGGTCAATGTTTTGAGTTATTTTCCCCTCCTTTAGAGCACACCTCTGTCTCAGGATACATGTTACTGTCCTCTATTGGCAACAAATAAGAGTTAATTGATATTATTTTTAACATACCTTAATTTATGCATTTTCTTTTGACTAAAAGTTTCTACTGTAGCTGCCTGGATAGAGGAGGACAGAAAGAGAGGTATTGGTTGTAATGATGCACTTGTGCATTAGTTGCTCTTTGCACTGCTTTGGCCTAGCTGTTATAAATGCGCTATTTCAAACAATGGGCATTTGACTTATGAGCAATGCAGGATAGATTAGAGCTATTCAATGCTTTAATTTAAAAACTTTAGCTCCTATACATTACATGCAGTGATGTATTCCAATTATCTATTTGTCATTTGCTAGGATTAAGTATAAAAGCTAATTAAATTCCCAAATTCAGTATTTTGATTTATAAATCATGTCACAGTCTCTGCTTCAAACTGACCATATGACTGTTTATTTTTTTGTTTTGTTTCTCCAAATGTTTACATGTGATCACTGCTGCACTTTGAGGAATGGGAATGTCATGAGAGCTGTATACAAATGAAATTTCATTTTGTGTACACTCTGTGTATACAAAATCACAATAACGTTTGTATAAGTATAAGAAATGGGAATCAATGCAGCTGAGCAAGGATTGCATATAAAGTCTATTTAAAAACTGGGATTTTTTTCTGCTCTGGATTAAACTGCTCCAAAAGAACAGGCTGCATTCTGAACAAGCAAAGCCAGAGTCTTGCTTTGATGCAGTAATAAATAGTGTTGCACCGATACCAGCACTAAAATTGTGGTATTGGTATCAGTGATTACCAACAAATAGGGCACGATACCATTTTGAGAGACAAAAGTTTATTCAACTATTGTCACCTATTCCATGTAGGCAATAAAAAGTTCTACTGGATTCACTTTGTATTAGTCTTTTTCCTGCTTCACAAAGGTAGGCAGCAGCTTGACAAAGCCATGATGGTAATTATTTTACATCCAAGTAGTATGCAGTTCTTGATATATATACACACACATTGACTTCAAACAGATGGTATCGGTATCGGCCAATACTGCACAGCCAGATATCCGTGGCCAAAAAATGGCATTTGTGCAACACTAGAATCTTGTAGCGCCCGCTGCCAACTATCGGTGGATTTAATCTTCAGGTCGTTAACATTTCTGTATTGAAATCGTTTTTAATTCTTCCTATTTTACATCCTAATTTTCTGAAAAACTGAATTTGGGTTTTCACCAGATATGCCATTATCATCAGAACAAACACAAATACACACTTGAAATACGTCCCACTGTGGGGCTGCAACAAATGGTAATATTACTAACCGACAAATCCGGTTATTATTTTTTAAGTTATTCTGTTAATGATCAGATTTTTTATACAAAATTCAAACAAGGTGAAACTTAAACTATACCTCTTTCTTCTGGATCAAGTTTACTTCCTTTAAATATTACTTAGATCCCTAACGCATATTTTGTACAGTTTGTCTAATTTATGCTCCGAGTTAGATTATTATTTTTTTTTTTTCAGTAAATTTCGTATTTAAGAGTCTGTTTACCTGAGTTAATAATTAATAAACTTCTAAATAAATTGAACTCTCGCACTATGGGTAAATATTGTATAGATAAACTTTAGAAATAAAAAACAGAAAATATAATATATATTTTAGACTTATACAACTTTTATTGTCATTTTGTGTACACATTGTATAGAAAACAAAAAAAAAATTTTTGTACAGCTGTCATGACATTTCCATATGTTAAAGTGCGGCACTTGATGTGTGCATTTTAATGATCTAATTTATTTAAATGAGACATTCAGAACATATTTGTTCAGAAATGCCTTTTGATTGTGTCTGTCAGTCAAATAAGTGGCTAAGTTACCAAAACATTAATGCTTATTACAAACTTACTGTTATATGAGACTGAATTATGTAACTGCTTTACAATATATCTTGTCAGCTAGCTATTAGTGAAATTTAAAAGGGTTCAAAATTTCCAACGTTCCGTGTTGGCTTTTAATTGCTTCAAATATTAGCACCTAATTACGCATAAGTATGTCCTAATTTACACCAAAAAGTATTGTTTTTGCTATCTGCATATGTTGCCGTCTTTTTCTAAATTCATCATATATTCATTTTCGATTCAGCAGGAAAAGGCGTGGGCTGATATCAGGGTTATGATAACTCTTTATTCGGAAATACCACAATATCTGAATATCTACACAAGTATGTAAAACAAAACCAACCATCTAACAAGGAGCAGCCATTATTCATTTACTCAAACAAAGTTATATAAAATGAATTATTACATTTGTAAAACATTTTGTGATTTAGATTCTTTTTTTGTGTATTGATTTATGTAAAAACATGGACGTAAACACCTGCTAAATGTTATGATTTGAATTGCAAACTGCATAGAATGTTAGACCTTTTAGCTCTTTATAGAGTTTTGATCAAGCTGATATCAGCAGGTTGCTGATATAGCTTTCAGCTCCAGCCTGCAGCTGGACAGATATGCCGCTTACCAAATGTTTCAAAATAGCCTTTATGCAATATGCATACGTTTTTAACCCCATAAATGTCTGGGGTGGTAACGAATAGAAACATTTCCAAACAGCTAAATATGTCTTTCTTGTAAGTGAAGGAGAAGTGTAGAACCATTTTAATGTACCCAGCTGACCACAAATGGAAGGTGGGAAAACACTATTATGCAATGCACACTACGTACACAAAGGGAAAATTCTGCTATATCCAGCAGCTTCTGTGGTGTTTGGTCAAAAGACTTTATAGGGCAAGTTAGTGTTTTTGATCACTTACAAATGGAGTCCCCCCCGTCTCTCAGTGAGGTCTAGAAGCACAAGATCTATATCCATTCATCCATTAAGCAAAGATACTGCTACATGTCTGGACATCTTATCTTGCCATTTGACCAATTAAATGAGCCTTGAATTATATATTACCTGCCTTAAATTAAGTTGGGAAAAAGGTTAAAGAGTAAAAAAAAAGCTAAAAAGCTAATTGAAAAGTTATAAAGTTAATAAGACTAGTTAACAATTATATTTAGGTTTATAAACTAAAAAAATTAAAGTGCCAGTATCAGCATTAATGCCTCTAAGGTTATGTTAGACACAAAAAAAATGTTTTTCACTCTGAGTGTTTTTCATGAATTTCTTATAGAAGCACTTTTGTTATTTTTCTTAATATATTCGGGGAAGTTTGCATTTCTTATTACATTGACATTATTTTTTGCCATCAAAATATCCATAATTTTTTATTAAATAACACTATTGGCTTGAATTTTTTATTTTCAAAGTATTTCACTGAGTGTCCTATAAAGGCTTAAACGCTTGCAAAAACAAATGAAAAATAATAGAAAATGTACTTATTTTGAAACTTAAACTTTCTAAAACCATTACATACCTTTTATACTGATTACTATGAAGGTAATCATAGCAATACCCATTATATGGTCCAATCAAAAAACAATGTTACCTCAATTTAAAAAGTTGCTTTAAACAAAAAAGACTGCACTTCTATCAAATAAAACATTTTCAATCAAAGAAAAGCAGTGTTCGAATGTATTTTTTTTGAGTCTCAAATATATTTTTGCATTCAAATACTTTTGTTCTTTGATTGAAATTTTTTTTTTTATTGAAGTGAAGATTCTTTTATTTGAAAATATCTTTTTTGATTGAAGCAACCTTTTTTTTGATTGAATAATAAAGAAACTAATCTACCTTCATAGATTACTGGCTCTTGCATACATAAGACAAATTTTGCCTAACTTACGTTTATGTACATTTTCAAAGTTTTTAGATCTGCTATGATTATTCTATTTAAATTAAATTAAATTTAACTAAATTAAATTTAGTTGCT